ATACTTCCCTTTCACTCCTTCCTACCACCTTCTCTTTTCCTATTCTTTTTTTCTGTTTTAATTCCAGTTCAACTGCAGTTTCTTATCTCCCAACTTTTTTAAGTTCTCCAGATGAATTGCTCGAAAACGCAATATACAGAAGTACACACACCTGCACATATGATTTTGTCACTGTTTTTTTTTTTTTCAGTTTCGTATGCTGCATGTGGTATGCATCTCTCTTTCATCTTCCTGTTATTATCACTTTTCGAATGCTTCCCTTAATTCTGCGAGCAGAACAAGAGCTGCTGGAAGTGAAAACTGGCTACTGTGGTTGATTATGCGGCGCTGTTCGTAGCATAACTCAGTTGGCTTTATGCCGGATTATCAGAATTGCAGCGACGTGCAACACTGCTGCTCGACGTAACTTCCCTTTCACCGGACTGCTGGATGATCGCAGGTAGAGCGATCAGCTGTAAACAATGGGTTCAGTTTCCATGCCGACAACTGGTTCCTTGTCTCATATATCCTTGTAAATCCTCTCTCACGACGTCATAACACGCTCTGACGCCTGGTTCTTGATGATGTCCGATCAGAAGCAGCATTCAGATGCCAAAAACCGACTCCCGGCCGGATGATGACTTCATTGCAGCAGCCGCGCTCAATCCATACTTACGCTTACTTACCAAAAATCCCCTTTCGAAACACATGCTCCAAGAGCTATTGACCGCTGTTGGTGCACTTCATTTTTGTCACGCAAGTCCAGCCACAGAAGCAAGTTCATCGTGGTGCTTCCTTCATTATTACATCAGCCAAAGCATCCGGACGCAGTGTTTGGTTTCCAAACAATCAGAACTGAGTGCTATCCAAGCAAACGAGACTTGATTTTTAACCACAAGCACTTTGACGAACTGAAAACACGCAGCAAACCGTACCATGACCAATAGCTAAATTTACTTAAATGCATGAAAATTTAGCGACCAGTAATTAAATAACCAATGGCCAATTAGGTATTCAGGTGATCAGTAGCCAATGCTACCACTACCTGACAAATGACCAAGGAGAACATTCAAAAACTGTGAACATAATGACAAACCGACGCCTTCGAAATGTTGATTGCTCCAGTAGCGATCGATCATTGTTGTGTACCAAATCACCCGATGGCCTCGTCCAACGAAATGTCTGATCATGCCGATTGTGCAGCGGTCGGAGCCGCCGTTCCATTGTTCAGGATGTAGGATGACGACAAGCATGCCTCAAATTGACAGGCCTAACGTTTCAGTTGTGGAAAAAAAAA